TTTTCTCAGAGAAACAACGCACATCAGCAGAGCTGTTTCATCCATTTCAGAAGCAGGTGTCTCTTGAAAGTAAAGAACAGAATCTGAAGGCTCCTGTTCTCCTTTTTCTGCCCCAGCATACTTCAGGTCAGGTTGTGCTGACATAAACTTTTAATTAATTGCACCAACATCAAGCACCAGAATCTGAATCGACAGTGTGTGTCTGAGATGCTGTTTAGCAGTTACTTGTAAAGCACATCTCTAAATATCAAGAGCATGTGTGTATCGTACACATGCACAGACAGGTGAACTTGCAAAAAATGCCATACTTTGAATGCTTATCAACAACTATGCCTACAATTTTCTAAGCAGTGAGCAGAATGAGTTTTACCATTTCCAAAACTCAAGAGGAATCATGTAATTAAAACAAGCCAAGCTTCACAGACAGCTGGGGAAATGTAGACATATAGTCTGCTCGTCATTAACTCACAAAGGGCACAAAGGCCCTTCTGTGCTAAAACATGGTTTTCTCAGCATTAATCCTCTACAGCTATTGATAGTAACTTAGGACAACTTTTCTAAGCACTGAATTAAATGAAATCACCAACATTGCATAAAACTGACACAACTGCTGTAGTAACAAGCTTTGGGAACACAAACACTCTGTGGGTATGTTTTGCAGTGAACTGGAAGACAGGACCACAACAGATCACCTATGGTACCGCTACAAGACGATAATGAGATTATGCTCCATTAAAAATCACAAGTAAGGACATTTGTGCCAAAATGAACTAGATAACCTTTAGCACACATGACCTAGAGCCTTTTCCAGAGATTGAGGAATGCAGGTTGGAGAACTCCAAAACTGTAGCCATATAAAGGTATTGTACCAGTGCAACCCATCAGTGCACTTCAGTCAAAAAAACACTTGTCTTGCACACAATTCCTAGCATTTCTCAGGTCAAAAGCATTGCATTAGAGGCAAAATTTAAAATATTGTTACTAAAAAAATACAGTACATTTATTTATTTGAAGATTGAGCACAAGGCATTTCCTTGAATTTTACCTATTCTGGGATTTTCTGTGAAAGCGCGACTCTTTCTTCTGCCTTCTGGTGACAGGGGGTGCAGGGGTGGATGGGAGAGGAGGAGGAGCAGCAGGTGTAGGAGATGGAGGTAGGCCATTACTTGGTTTACTTTTGTGGGTTTTGTCTGCTTCATATTCAAAGGTGCGTTTGGGCTTGGGGACAGGATTCACGGCGCTGTTAGCTGGGCTTTCGAGGAGCAGTTTAGGGCCAGCTGAGTTGGCAGTAACGCCCTGTTTTGTCTTACTGCTTTTCTCAGCCTCAGTAGGTGTTTCTGGTTCACTCCCCAAAATAACACTCCCTCCTTTGCTATCACTTAGGCTTTCACTCAGTCCCTCCACAGTACTCAGAGTCACAGACTTTTTCCTCCCTTTGTCAACACTATAACAGCTACTTGGTAACTGCGGGAGGCCTCTGCCAGGCTGCTCTTTTAGTGCCTGCTCAATCTTCTGTATTCTGTTGAGCACAGCAGAGGACTCTTTCCTCACATGGCCCTTGAGGAAAGCAGCAGAAGGAGGCTCGCTCCTGCCTGGTCTCTTTTCGAACCGATGGCAGGAATCCCTGTCTAGCAGTTCCTCCTCCTCCGTTTCTGGGTACGAGCACTCGGAAAATGTTCGGCTCATTCTTCTGAGCCCTTTGAAATCAAACGTCTTCTCGCTGCAGGGAGAGGTCAGCACGCTGGGGCAGCTGTCACTGCCCGACCTCTCCCCAGCATCCCTCTTGTCCACACACGTGCTCATCCTGGGGGATGGCTCCCGGCGGCATTCCCATTCTGTGATCTTCTGCCTGATGTCCACTGCCTGGGAGCGGATGCTCGCCCGGCTGAGGGAGAGGTTCCTCAAGTTGGTGGCAGTGCCCAAGGACAGAGTGCTCCGGGCGAGTGGATGGCTCCCTATTGCTTCCCCACCTTGAGCCTCCTTTGGACTCTCCTTTTGGTCCTCACCCTTGAACACAGACAGCCTTTTATCCAAAGCACCCACACTGACGGCTTTAAGAGGGTGGCTTGGGGAGTCAGTGTCCGACAGGCTTGTGGAGGTGCTTCGCAACGTAGATGTGCGGCTGCTCCAGTCCTTGAGGCACAGTCTGGAGTTGGAGACTTTGGCGAGCCGAGTAGAGCGGCAAGAGTCCTCGCTATCGCTGAGGGGGTAGGCTGGGCTTCTTCGTGGGGACAAAAGAGGCGGTGGAGAGACTGACTGACACCTAGAAGCAGAAAGAAACAAAAAATCAAGTCCTTGGGGAAACTAGAGTTATTTGCCAAATTTCTTCTGGCTGCAGGTAAAGCAGAGGGTGTCTGCACACTGCAAAACTACCCCAAAGCATCACTAAGACACCAA